ATTTGTGACGATATATATATATAGCCTCCTGATGAGTCGGTGAAACTCCGACGAAACAGTTTGTCACAGCCCCTCGTTTGTTGTCCTCTTCTCCCTCTCTGCCTACGGTTTACCGGGCAGTTCTATTTGACGATATATATGTTTGTGACGATATATATATCTTTTTTAATTTAAGACGGAGCCTACGACCGGACTTGAACCGGAGGCCTTTCCCTTACCAAGGGAATGCTCTACCACCTGAGCTACTTGGGCTCACGGGGAAACTGGAGACGATCAATGGTCGGTCATGGACTGGGAAATAAAAAAAGTAATGTAACAGTCGGAACAGACATAACTGACACTGACTTAAAGAAATGAACCGGGGAACAGAAACAAACCACAATTCTATGGGCACTCAAAATATGGGCCGTTCAGCCATCGGGCGCTAAAGCTAGGACAGGGGCCCCCAGGGCCCGAGTGAGAGGCCGTGCATGCCACACACACCCTCCACCAGTGGATCGGACCTAACCCTTTCAACCAGAATTACCTCTGAGGGCCTCCTACCTTTGTTTTTTTTTTTTTTTTTTGGAAAACATCCCCGAGCCATACCCCAGGGGCTGATAAAATCTGTCCCCTGTGGTAGGCCGTGGGCGGCTCCAATCTATTGGTGGGGACAGCGCCCCCAAGGGCCCGAGTGGGAGGCCGTGCATGCCACACTAACGCTTCAGCCAGCATTACCTCTGAGGGCTTCCTACCTTTTTTTTGTTTTTTGGAAAACGTCCCAAAGCCATACCCCAGGGGCTGATAAAAACAGTCCCCTGTGGTAGGCTGTGGGCGGCTCCTATCTATTGGTGGGGAGCAGCACATGCTGGAAATCGGTCCAGCGTCTTTTAACAAATGTATCCAAAGATTCCAAAGTCAATGTATATACAGTCGGGCCAGAGGTGAGTACATTCTATAATTAGCTCATTGAACCCTCAACACCTCTAAACCGGCACCTGTGATAGATCAGTGGTCCTTTGTCAGCAGGATCAGAGGGTGGGGGCTGGACAGGGCGATGATGGAAGGGTTTCTATGGTCAGTTCAGCACTCCGGGGGGCGACCGACCGAAGACTGGAACTAACTTCCACTCAAGGGGCCCTACTTCACCCGTCCTGCCCCGTCCCCCTCCTGATCCTGTTGAATGGGATCCTCCTGCACTAGTCTTGGCACTAGGCAAGGTGCACTAACGAGGTTGTGGCAGGTGCAGAAGTCAAAACAGAGTTCGGCAGTGACCTGCACATAATCAGTCTGAGATTTCTGCTGTTTTTTTTTCTGAGTATTGCTGCTTGCTGGATTGATTTGATGAGATTCCCGTGTGCTGTGTGAGTTTGCTGTCTGCTTGCATGTGTGTAAGTCCCTGTGTGATGATTTGTATGCGGAGTATTAAGCGTGTGCTTGCTCTATGTATTCTGTGTCCCCGGGAGGGGTAGATTAGGATAAGGAAATCATGGCCCAACAAAGGTTCGGTAGACCCGGTAGCTTACAAAAAGGTCACGAGTAGTCAGGCCCGAATCTAGACATCCCGTTGGTTAGATTCAGGACCTGAGGTAGACTTGCAGACTGCAATAATGTTCCCGCCTAAAGGCAGGAACCCCTGGTAGGCCTAGTACCCCGAAGAGGCAGTGGGAGGAGCAGTACCACAGCCTAAGTGAAGCTGTGAGGCTGCGTTGCGAGAGTACATCATTTGGGAAGCGGTATCTTACCCAGCAGTCATGGTGCTGGTCCGCCCAGAGGTGAGTTTGGGAAGAGTGCCTGAAGAGCGATGGAGCCGGAGGGCGAAGAAGAAGAGCTTCTTGGAGCTGGAGGGCAAAGAAGAAAAGCTTCTTGGCTATGGAGGCGTGTAGTAGTAGAGTTCAGACCTGACTATGGTGGTAGAAGGTGAAGGGCCCCATGCCAGAGGAAGAAGAAGGGCAGGAGAAGGGAAGAGAGGTGAGGAAGAGGGAGAGAAAGAGGAAGTCACCTAGAGAGAGTCAGGTGGTAGAAGGTGAAGGGCCCGATGCCAGAGGAAGAAGAAGGGAAGGAGAAGGGAGGAGGAGGTGAGGAAGAGGGAGAGAAAGAGGAAGTGACATAGAGAGACTCACCTTGGCTATGGTTGACCGTCATCTTCACTTCCTTGGTTGGCGCTGCATCAAGAAGGCCCCGAGCGAAGCAACTTTTGCCGCCTCGTGTGCAGCATGGCTTGTGGGTCCCGGTTGGTCTTGGACACCTTCCGAGATTATGGCTGTGTTGAGAGGGGATGGGACTAGCATAGTAGTGTTTGCCTTGTCCTTTAAGAAACATCCGTGACGAGTATGGATGTTCTGCCATATCGTTAGGTGCTTCAGATGAAAGAGAAGTGAGGTTAGGGCTGGCAGTAAGGGGAAACACTTGGACATGACTTCTGTTCAGTCATTCATTTGTTGTTGCATTTGATTGATCATCACGAGTAGTAGTAAAGGAGAAGAATGAGGGATGAGCAGGAAGAATGCGGGGGAAGATATTGGTAACTTGTGTAGTTCGTCTTGTCCTCTTGTTCTCTTATTCTCTTATTCTCTTGTTCTCTTGTTCTCTTGTTCTCTTCTTTCTATACTACTCTCTCTCTCTCTCTCTCTCTCTCTCTCTCTCTCTCTCTCTCTCTCTCTCTCTCTCTCCCCATCCATTTCTTCGTTTGATTTTCAGCAAGGCTTGCATTTCTCGCAATTTGAGTTTTTCTCTGTCGATGAAGTAGGATCATAACAGTTCTCATCAGAGTAGTCACGCCGACGGTCGGCGCGGCTGAATTGGTCAGGGGCTGACCAGCCGACCATTCCACTGGTCGGCGCCTACCGGTCGGTGCTCGGTAGGCACTCTGGGCCGCCCTACTGCTAGGCTGGAAAATGGTCGGCGGTCGGCGGGTATGCGGCCCTGGTGCCCATGAAATAATCATCTTTGGGGCCTCAACCGTTCATCAGAAGCGACTCCACCGTCTGAAAGTGGTCTGGTTCCTAGCCAGGTGGAAAACTGTGAGCTTCATCTCTGCAGGTCTCGAATAACTGATAATTTAAAACCACCTCTGCCTTGCAAGATGCAAAAACCAACAACCATGCCTCACAAAATGGTCATCTTCAGGGTTTTTTAGGGCCTCCACCTTTACAGTTTGGCAGGGCGTTCGTTCGTACTGGTGGTTATGCAGTCACTGCCGTGGCAGGTGCAAACATCGAACACATAGGCCGGGGCTCTTTGGGGTCTTGACCGTTTAGAAGAAGTAACTTGTCCATGTTTCGAAATTGGCCCAACTCCTAGCCAGGTGGAAATCTGTATGATTTGTCAGTGTGTCCCGTCGTACTGGTAATTAAACGATCACTGCTTTGGATGGTGCAAAAATTGACGCACGGGCGTCACGACATAGTAACCAGAGAATTGGACCACATGCATTCGGAGATTTTCGGAACGATCCAACATTTTGCAGGTTGTGCAGTGGAGCTTACCAGTGAGGTTTTTTTTTTTTTTTTTTTTTTTTTTGGTGGGTGCTCCCGGGGAGAGATTTTCGGGACGATCCAACATTTTGAATGTCGACTATTACCAGCTCGAGAGACATTTTGCAGGCTGTGCAGTGGAGCTTATTAGTGAGGCTTCTGTTCTTGTGATTACCTGATGGATGTTTGTGGAACAGGTAGCAAGGTTTGAGTACATGTCGGATGACACTCCTAGGACAACGAAACATGGGGATGCTGCCAAAGAAGATAGTCTGCCAGCTTCCCAGGAACAGGCTGTAGACCTCACTGTCAATCATTCACAGTATTGGGAGGAGCTTCTGCAGGAGAGGTATAAAGAGGAGCAGCAACGACAGTGTGAAGACCTGGGGAAAGGGAAGCGTAGCAAAAAACAGGCAAGTGTGCTGTTCAAAGCCGCCATCTTATCTCCTTCAGGACTAGGCTACCAGAGTGGCTCGGGACCGCTTGCCAGGCCGGGCCCAAAAAAAGTGAAAAAATAAAATAAAAGAATAATAAAAAAATAAGATTATAATTTATAATAATATATATATGTTTTCACAGTTTTCTAACTTAATGTTTTATTTAAAATTTGGTAAGGAATTTCGATGTGACCCTGAGGCAGAAGTTATTCAGTTTCTTTTTCTGCATAACATAGTTTTTTTTTCAGCTTTTTTTTTTTTTTTTTTTGCTGGAACCTTCTTTAACCCTGGCACGGCCGGGCTGCCCGTGCAAACAAGGTGACCCGGGTGGCCCCTCTGGTAGCCAAGCTTCAGGACATCTGTTAAATCTGGAACGATACAGAGAAAATTAGCAAAGAAAAGTAAAAGAAAAAAGCACGGGCCCTGCTCAAGGATGACACATAAATTGAGAATCGGTAGCAAAAACCAGGCAACTGTACTCTTCAAAGCCGCCATCTGACATCCTTCAGGACATGCATTAAACTCAGAACAATGCGGAGAAAATTAGCAGAAAAAAAGAAAAGAAAAAAGCATGGGCCCTGCTGAAGGATGGCACGCATAAATTGAGAACCAGTCTCAAAAAAAAAAAAAAAAAAAAAAAAAAAGAATCCTCATCCCGTTCTCCTGAATGTCTTCATAAGAGTATCAGTTTGAAAATCAGTGATCAGAGACCAGATTACATCCTGATGGAGTCGAGATTGAATGGCTAGTGCAGGCTCTAGCTCTAGCCGGGCTAAAGGCGTAATCACACAAGGACTTCTCTGGTTGTATGTAAATGCATCTATGGCCAGGTTCAGTCAAAAAGCTGTCTAATGTGATAGGCCTTTGAATCATTCTGACCATACTTGCGGCGAACCTGCACTGTGCGCTGCGCGCGCACCGGCGCGCGCCGCGCATCTGGGTGCGCAGTGCGCGCTGCGCACGTCTGGTGTGCTGTACTTATGTGCGCAATGTATGTTTCCATGTTCTAGTGGTAATTCATTTGATTTTGTTCTCTCTCTCTCTCTCTCTCTCTCTCTCCCCCCTCCCGACTTCTTCCGCCGTTCCCCACCATCCCACCTTTGGCCTTTCTCCCGCCTTCCGTCATCCACCATCGCTACTTCTCTCTCCCTCTTCCCGCCATCTCTCTCTCTCTCTCTCTCTCTCTCTCTCTCTCTC